ATGGTATTCTTTTTTTTTTTTGTTCCTTTTTAAAACCTTTTTTATTGTCAAAGCCTTTACTATTAAAAGATTTAGACTTCTAAGTAAGAACAAGATTTTAAGCTAGAATAGTGACAGGGAGCATTACGATCTTAAAGGAAAGAAAGAGAGGAAAATACTATTTAGAAGAAGAGGTGATGTCAATAAGGGTTGATCGAGGAAGAATAGAAGAAATAACTAGAGCATTTATAAGAAAAAAAGTAAAAAAATAAGAAGGTTGATAGGGCTGGACCTTAAAAAAGAGAACTACTAAAAAAAAAAGAAGGTCGACCTAAAAGATATACTGACTTAAGATATAAAAAAAGGTGGTAGACTTTCAAATTAAAATCTATTTAAGTAAATAGTTCTTTTATACTTAAGACCTACTCTTTTCTTACCTGATCATTCTTATCGATTTGTCGCTTCCCTTCCTTAGACATAGGGTTGAGCCAGTAGACCATTTTATGATAGCCTGACTTCTAATGATTGGTGGGATTAAATCATCATCATCCTGCCAGAGCTAGCCTCCTTAGGCTTTACCCTGAAACTCTTAATTTTCCCAAAACTAAAGATAGAAGACATGATAAAGAGAACATGCACCGAGGAAAAATGAAAAGAATGGATAAAAGAAAAATAACTATAAGGTTGAGAAAGATAAAAAGCTTTTGAGGTTAAAAAATTCAGGTCGAATGGAGAGTAAGAAAGTAAAAGGGTGAAATATGAAAGCCCCAATAGCCTTTTATATAGTCGCACCTCAGATTAGATAAATGACCCAGATTGTGCCATATGTCAGAGTACTATTTGAGAGTGAATTTTTACCTTTTTTGCTTTAAATTTTATCGTCCTAACTACCTTTCTCCTTATTTAATGTGACCTCAACCACTTAACTGAGTCAGATTGACTAGATCGAATAGGTCCCTAGGTTAAATTGGTATGGTGAATCGATAGTTGATTTATCACTAGAATTTAAACAAGGATTCAAATCCAATGTTCCTGAAAAAATGTTTAAGTCTCATATCGATTAGATGAACTCCTTAGCCCTTTCAAACCTTTCATCTATACCTTGAATCATCCCAAACAAAAAACACCTTGACAACTTTCAAACAAGCCATACATTTAACCTAAAACACACGCACAAGATCAAACTCATATTAAGTAGGCATAGATCAGGGCACCTCGGTCAAAGTAAACAAGTGGTCACTTAATGTTGGTCTCTATGTTGACATTGGCCAAAGGAGATCGAATTCTTTATGATCCCCTATAAGCTGGTTGACCTATGCGAAATGAATTAACTACACACATAATAGTCTGATATTCAAACTACTCTATGGAAGGGTAGAATGTTGGGGGTATTTAGTGGTTCGAAGGGCATGATGGTCTTTTTTCTCTGTTAGAAGCTCTTAGCAGACAACTAGGGGCATTTCAGACATTTAGAATGACTTGACATGATAAGTCATCTTGGTATGTTCTGTGCCACATTAGCTCAATCACATCATTGTTGTCTACCATTAGTCCCTAACCTTTCATTTACAAATACAGACATTTGAGCATTATCATCGCAGGTTCCATCTTATCTTTTACCTTTTACTTTTCTCTCCTTTCAACCTCTTTCATTTTAATCTCTAACTTGCATGTCAAAGTGCAAATGTGGAGAACACTCTCTACTTTTGCACCTAACCGCTCTCTTCCATTTCTTAGCCTTTCAAGAATACCCTCACGTCAGAGTTTGGCACCAACAAGTCTCAATTCAAATAGAACTCCAATAAAACTCCATATCAAAATTTATTAGGTTCTTATTGCTTTAAAGTTTTTTATCTCAATCCAAACTTGTTTACAAATTCCTTTACAAGCTTATGATCTTTATCCAACTTTTGGTTTTTCCTTTTTGTTTTCAAATTTTTTGATTTCCAAATGAAAAGAAATAAAAAAAAGTAAAAAAAAAATACAAATACAAATTAAAAATAAAATAAATAAATAATGAAAAAGGATAAAATTAATATTAGGTTTATAACTAAATCAAACCCAAAGCCTAATAAAACAATGAAGACCCAAAAAGAAATTTAAGAGCCCATATTTTGAAAAATGATTTGAAAATCCAAAAATACTATAAAAGACCTTAGACAAAATGATGTATCTACATGAGTAATAAATTAAAAGGTGAAACAATTATTTGAATTTCGAAAATGAAAAAGCCATCTAATACAAAAATAGCACTATTATAAAAAGAAACAACAAAATAGAATTAATTATTTTATTTTGAGGAAATATACATTGTTTGATCCTCAAACACGGCAATAAATGATGAATCTTTTTATACTTAATTAATTTTTTGTTCTATTAATTAAAGAAATTTAAAAAATAGGTATAGTTGATTGGAATGGCATATAAACAAGGGCTTAAACTCAAATATTATTTGGAAAGTTCATTGCTACTTGTTCAATCCAATAAAATTATTTGGGGAGCTCATATATTAAGGGTTTATTTGATACACAAGATTATAATATGATATAATAAAATAATATTATGAATAAGATTATATTAAGTAATACTATTTTATCTTATATTTGATATGTATAAAGATTAAGATAGAATAATTTTATTTATTGATCAAAATTATTTTTTTCTCAAAGTTTATATAATTTAAATTATTGATATAATTTTTAAAGGTATAATAAGACATATAAATTCAATTCTATAGATTAAAAATAATCCTCTCTACTTTGAGAGAATTGAATCATCTTATGTTAAAAAAATGATTAATTCTCCTTATAATCATATCTTTTTCTTTAAATACAAACCAAACATAATATAAGATAATTATTATTATATTCTATCTATTATCCAATATGCGAAAAATGATATAAATGCCTTACATACAATATAAATAATGGCTCAAAACTCAAATCCAAATACCTAATCCAATAATATAGATATGTACCAGACATTTATCTGTTATGGGATTCTTTTTAATCTATAGTATAGATATAGAAATCTTTATGTAGTATACAATTTATGGCAAAAAAAGTATTTAAATTTGGGCTGCATGCAGACGACTCACAAACTCGTAATAACCAAACAAGTGGCATCATATACATACAACTGACTCTCGTAATCATGTATGGATATACCTATAAAGAATGTTACTGTATTCTTTGGACTGTGCTTAACGTACGGTTTCTTCGAGCCGATTTGATTGCATTTGCACATCGATTATATCTATAACGAAGCAAATTCGTGGTTTTATATATATATATATATATATGTATGTATAAATGTATACATATATATCTATACATTTATACACATACATGTATATGTATATACATATATACATATGGGATGGATTAGCTCATATAAAAAAGTTTTATATTTTTTTATAATTATTGATTTTAATAAATTTAAAGGATGAGATTAATTTTTTTTTTATTTTTACTTGTCTCTCTCATTCCTTTGATCTATTTAAATTAATGGTTAAAAAAAAGTGTAAAATTAACATTTTAATTTTACATTGATATAAGTTGATATTTTCTTATTATATACATATAGAGAGAAAAGGAATCTATTTACATTATGTAAAATCAAAAAAGTTTTATATATTTTTCTAATTATTTATTTCAATAGATTCAAGAGATGAGAGAGATAAGGAAAAAAATGAAAAAATGATTTAATCTCTTACCTTAGATATATTGAAATCAAATATTAAAAAAATATATAAATTTTTTTTTAATTTTACAATGTATAAATTGATTTATATATATATATATATATATATATCTCAAGTTTCTTTGAATTTTGAGCCATCACATGCAGGGTTGGAGCCCTACAATGTTCAATGGGGACTCAACAAAGATTAAAAAAAAAAATGAAATTATGTGTGTTCCAGATAAAGTTCAAACAATTTTCATTGATCCAGTTTATTGGTTATTGAGACCAGTATTGATTTTATTAGTTGTTACTATCATAGTAGAGAGCATTTTCAACAATAAACATTTTGAATATTCGTTTAGCATAATCAAATGGAATATTAGTTTTGAATGATAATTTAATTGTGTATATTAAAAAAGATGTGTTCAAAATAGTGATAATGAAATTATTGTACTATGTTTTCGAAATATGAAAACACGTTAAGGACAATTGTAAATTTTTTAACAATTATAACTTAATATGAAAGTTTTGGTTTTTGAAGTTCTATTATGTTGTTATCTATGAAGCATGAACATTTTTGAACTCCTCGTTTACCATGATCTGAAATCCTCAAATATGTGTGTTCATACTTTGACGCTTGTGATAAATTGAAATTCATGCTGAACTTAGTCGAATACGACAAAAAAAAAATAATAATTCTCATGTAAATAATGATATGATATGCTCTTTTATTATCATACCTATCATCATTTTTTTTACAAGGATAAATATCTTTTAAAAATTAACCTAATATTTATCATATATTTTTAACTAATGATTATAATTATAAAAATATTTTTATTATTGTATCCTGCTATATGTGTCTTAATTTTTTTTAAATTATGATGTCACTGTATCTTATCATGTCATTTCGGCATTTTGTATGCGTGATGTACTCATGCTTCGAAGGTTGCTATTGTTTTTTTTTTTATAATTTAATATGTTTGAACTAATCCCTCGTCCAGCAAAGTTTCTTATTCTGCCACGGAGCGCTGGTGCAAGTAAATGTCTCTACTGACTGTTAAAACAATATGGCCGAAGTCAAGCCCCAGGTGTTGACGTGGTGCCCCGATTCATCGATCAACTGGAGGAGAATGCCTGAGGCATACGTCACTGCATTTGTTGGCGAGAGAGTTAGAAAGGGAAGAGTTGATGGCAACCACATGAATCGAAAGCGACCTCGAAACGAGGGGACCGCAGCCTTGACAGTTTTACAGGTAAATTTTAACAGAATAATTAAAAAAATATCATAGAGAGACAAAGCAACAAAACAGTCTTACTCAAGATTTCAGACATAAATGAGAAAACCTCTCTTTGCCCACATCCCTTCTAGGTAGGACCACGAGGAATCCTTTAATTTGACAAATAACCAATGAGAATTCAGGGGTTAGGATGAACTTTAAAATTTCAGCCAATAAACACTGAGATAAGCCCAACTTCTGGGTCCCAAAAAGCGAAATTGCAAGTTTGAAACCCCCTCTAGCTAGCCACCAAAAAGCGCATGGGCTACAGAGTCCAGACTCTCACAGCATCCCACTGCAGGTGAAAAACCAAAAGCTTTAGGGTGGGTCCCTTAAAAACATACCTCTCAACCGCAATTATCGAACCATAGGCTCCTCAAGGTACCCCGATATTCCCTTCTAAAGACACTCTGCCTTTTCAGCTTGTTTCTTTTGTTTGAGCATAGGTAAGTACTAACTTTAGCTAGACCTGTTTAATCCTTGTAGCAACTTAAGAGTAGCACTTATTTTTCTTTCCATCCGATGATCACTGACAAGAAAGCGGCAAATGCCCTGGGAGGTAAGACGGCTAGAGCCTGTGATGGTTGTCTTAGAAAGCGTGCACGTTGGTAGTGCTGCTGAGGATGCCTTTCTTTGCCAAGGTTGTAATACATCGGTCCACTCAGCTAATCAGTTAGCCAGCAGACATGAAAAGTTTAGGCTTGAAACTACATCTTCTAAGTTCAGTGCTTCGGTGATGAACATGAGTACTACTAACCAAGATGCTCCACCGGCATGGCACCAAGGTTTCACTCAAAAGGCAAGAACACCAAGGCAAAACAAGTCCATGTTGGGTCAACAAAAAGATGAGGGAAAGGTATTGAATGTGAATCCTCTTGCTCCTCTTGTTCCTGAGATTGGTAGCGAAGACGGGTCGGTTGATGAGAACGATGAGCAGCTGCTTTGCAAAGTTCCGGTATTCGATCCTTTTGCTGCAGAACTTTGTAATATAGTAACAAGTGATGGTGATGAAGCTTCTATGGTAAATGAAGATGGAAATTTAGTAGTTGGTGGTTATGAACGTGATGGAACAAGCGAGTTGGACGATGGTTTACATGGTCTTTTACCATTAGATATGGATTTGGCTGAGTTTGCTGCTGATGTTGAGAGCTTACTAGGAGTTGTACTTGATGAGGATACGTGTGAAATCAAAGGAATTGAATTTTTAGAAGTAAAAGATGAAGAAGAAGAGGAGGAAGGTATAGCTGCTTGTTGCTTTGATTCTGCTTTTGATGTGACAATAGAATCACCTACGATTGGTGAGGAAGAGAAGAAGGTGGTTCCTATGGCAGAGACAATAATAATGAATGGTGAAAGTAAGGCGGAGATTAAGAAGAACATGTTGCTGAGGCTGGATTATGAGTCCGTCATCAATGCTTGGGCCAGCCGAGGCTGTCCTTGGACGATAGGAAGCCGACCAGAATTCAATCCTGATGACTTCATGGTACTATATATATATATATATATATATATATCCTTTTCTCTAACTTCTTAGCATATATACTTGCACAGGACAGTTCAAAGTTCAAGCAGATCCTTTTCTAATTAATATTAAACATCGTGATTATATTGCAAATTCAATGCAGGAAAACCATTCATAAGTATGTAAACTTTCAATCAATGTAGTACTTGATTATACAACTTTTTCATTGATATGCCTAATTATTTTTCAATCCGTGGCACTCCAGGGATCAAATCCTAAAGGGGGACATCACCTGAATGGAGGCATAGGGGGAATAATATACAGCCAGGCAAGAGGGAATAATACAGATGGAGAAAGAGAAGCAAGGGTATCAAGGTACAGAGAGAAGCGAACAACCAGACTGTTTGCGAGGAAGATAAGGTATGAAGTGAGGAAGCTGAATGCGGAGAAAAGGCCTAGAATGAAAGGCAGGTTCGTTAAGAAGGCATCCTTTATGGGGACTGCTTTTCCTTAGATCAGTTAATAACTGCCAAATCTTGCTGTTTATTTCTTTACAAGAAGAGGCAGGAGTAGCTTAGCCAATTATAGCCATACTATATTGGCTAAGCTTTAACTTAATAAATCGATTGGGGCAGTTCTAGTTAAACTGTTAGACCTCTCTCTCTTTTTGTTTGGTATTTGAGATTGTCAAGAATCTTGGTCGCTAAAACTAAGAATTCAACGATCTACCAGTTCTTTTTAATGTCCTTTAACGGTTAAAGCTACGAAGTAAATTAACTAGATATATGCTGTAAATTAGTCAAGTTTCTGGTTTCTTTCCATCTTCTGCTTTGACGAATGAAGTGTTTTGTTTCATTTCTCCGGATTATAGGAGCAGATATGTTAAACTTAAGCAGCTTTATTCTTTATAAACTTGGCTAGTAATTTGACAAATTAGTCTATTGAGTGCAGTTTATTGACTTGATTCAACTTATATATGTACCAGAGGAAAAAGATTAACTCCGTAACCAATTGGCTATGTATATCATTATTTTGATTCAACTTTATAATGGAATTCAACAATTGAATTTGAAATGAACGATATTGCATTGGAATAAGAAGAATAAAGAAGAAACAATGGGAGAAGAGAAATGACGTATTATTATCTAAGATGTGATATACCAACCTAAACTTCAGAACATGTGATATACCAATAAACAAAATTCCTAATTCTTACTCTATTCATGGTCATCAGTCTATTAGAATTCAGTGCCAAACACACAGTATTTTTTTTTAATTGCTTTTGTTTATTTAGAATTAATTTTAATGAAGGAATTATGTTGGTATAAGTATTTACCATGCATGCTCTACTATCTTATAGAATGCAATTAATATGTTTCAGTATCTTATTGATATCATTTGCACTCATTATATAAGCCTCACCTTCATATTTTATTGCAGGGAAAAACAAGAATTAAAGCAGCGAAGCACTTTAACATTTTTCTCTTTTCCTTTTTCTTTTCTTTCTATCTTTTCTTAAATTAGAAATACAAAAATAAACTTGTCAAATGATGAAGGCGACCAATCATCAAATACATAATGAAAATCTTCCTTTTAAATTGAAGTTGACAGTCCATGTAGACCACCAATATTGTTGCATATCACATTCAGGTTTGAATATTTGTTAACATGGTGGGAGGAGTCTAGTCATAAAACAACTTTATTACGCGGTGAGAATCCCTCTCATTACACTGTCAATGGTCCCCTTAATTGTTTCAAGTTCAACCTCTAATTATTTTTTTCACAAATGCTCTAATTATTTTTTTCACAAGTGCTCTAATTAATTAAAGAAAAGAAAGGCAATAAAAGGGTAGGGGCATATATGCATTCATGAATGCCTTCTTTTGGCTTCATTTTGGGGCAGGGTGGCCAGTAGCTATCTAGCTGGCCATTCGGCATTAAGAAAAAAAAAATTGAAGAAAACTGAAAAACTGAAAAAAATGAAAATTAGCTGTTTGAATGGCTACATGGCCATTAAGACATAAAAATTTAGAGTTAAATGAAAATCAAAGTAAAATGAAAACAAAAGGGAAATTTTTTGAAAACAAGAAAAAGAAAGTAAAGAAAAATTTGAAAAGTTTAATTCTTTTTCATACCCTATCCGTCTGTCTCATCCGATCTGCTCTCCCTTCATCTCTCCATCACTCTTCACTACTATCCTTTTAAACTTGTGAATCTCACGTTGTGACAAATAAAAAGAAGGCAGTTGCCAATGTATAGCAGCCCCTTTTTTATCAATTCTAATAATTTTTGTGAGTTTATATTAAATGTATGTATCAATATATAAATTTTATATATTATCAATTAATCAAATGAATATATCATTAATGAGAAATTACATAAAAAAAAGTTTTTATGTATTTATTTTAAAATCCTATAAAAATTTGTATTTGATTATTAATGATACAACATCATCTGAACAGAATATATCAAATATAAATTTTAATATTTATATGCTACTATAAAAAAAATAGATAATTAATACTAAAAACAAAATCAATAATCATATACTTTATTAATAAAATACTAAAATTTTATATTTAATGATAAAATTTCAAATTTTAATAACCTCGAATTCTATAAATATTATTTGGTCCGGTCTCTAAACCAAATAATAATTATATAGTAATAGTAAGAAAAACGATTACCCTCTATTACTATCGTGTTTATTGACAGTACAGCTTCGGATTCATAACTGTCTACTGTAAAATACAAAAATCAAGTTTCATTAGTGAATTAATAAATGAAAATGGAGAGCAAGGGAAAGCCAATGAAATCCGGAAAAGGGACAAAGGCCATGGGTGAGGGTTTGGAAGACGAGAGAATCCGAATCCTAGCATCCTGCAGCACGACAAATACTAAAACCTGCACAACCGTACCCCCACAAGGCTCCTCGTAACTCAACGTTATGTTATTAAAACCCATCATCTCATCTTTCTGGCTAGTTCCTGCTCTCCAACATGGGAAACTGTGTCTTTTACTTTGTCAAACAGGACTGAGAAAGAAGAGACAAAGACAAACGAGGTTTCAACTCAAGATCAAGACCGTTCAATTAACCAATGTTGGAGAGGCAATCAAACGGTTGGGGTTTCATGGCGTGCAGCTCAATGTGATGGGCAGAGCAGCAGAGGTGTATCTAGGAAAGCCTTTTAGGCTATTTAACAGTCTCGGTTGTCTTGTTGCATGAAATGAAGGAAAAAGGCTGAGAAATCTTGTTTTCCAGTGGGGCAACTGTGAATCTGGAGCATAATATGGTACGGCTGAATCTCTTGAAAGATTTCATAAACCTCAAACAACAAACACATGCTATATTCTAAAGAGGAAAGAGTCAAGAGTAAAAACCTGCTGTTATCTTTTGTATTTCTTTGGAGATTCATGATTATTGCACAAAATTTTAGTGTGATGAACAGGTCCATGACAGGACTATTCTACTTAGTTTAGAAATAAAATATTAAAATAATATAGTATTAACTGGTATGACTGTGTAGAGAAAAGTTTTTGTAACATAAGGATAAGTGATTAGATTTGTTTGAATGAGATTAAAAATAGTAATGATAATAAAATTAATTATTATAATTATGAAATTAAATACTATAGTAATGAGGTTAAATATTATCTTAAAGTATTTCAATGAACCACTAGAATGGCAATGCAATTGAAAGCCTTTAATTGCATCTCTAAAATATTATTCAAATACATTTCAGGATGCAATTGAAAGAAATTGTGATAAAAAAAACTTAAATCCTATCGTATAAAAAATGCGATAAAATCCAAATGTGGAGCATAAAAGCTCTCCCTCACGACTTGATACGTGAAAGGAGGAAATCGTTCAAGTTATCCCACATCAATTGTGGAAGGGGATTTTTTTTATTAAAGATTGTGCTCATGAAATAAAAAATAAGTAACAAAAAAAAAAGCTTTTCTATAATAAGGTGTCAGTTGTAACTGGAGATAACCATTTAAAGTTGATTTGATTGCATATAAATATTAACCATTTTATGTGAATTAAGTGAAGTCAAAACTGATTTGACCATGTGGTTTCAAGAATTTTTGAAAGTCAATGTTTTGTTAGAATTTATGTTAAGATGAAGATTTATTAGATATTAACTTAGATTTTAATTGGAAATCAATTTAAATTATAAACACTAAATTTTATCTAGACCAACTTGACTTTGTTCGAGTTTTAAATTTGATTTTAATATTTCAATTTAAACTAACTTAATTAAATTAAACTCATTTAAATTTATCCTAAATTAATCATTTCCAAATCGATTTGCATAAAATTTAAACTAATTTAATTTGGATCAATTTGAGATTGTTCGAATTTTTTTTCTTGATTCAAATATTTTGATTTGAGTTTGATTAGGGTTTGTTTTGAATTAATCATTTTCAAATATTTTTATATTGGATTAATTTTAAGTTTAAGTTTAAAGGTTAATTTTTAAAAGAATTTCAGATCTAATTATGAAAGCCCAAATTATTTTTAAAACTCAATTTAAATAAAAATGGGCCCAGAACATTCTTCTAATCCAAATCTAATGGCCCAAATACAATCCAATTTAAAATCCAATTTCAAAGCCCAATTACTTAAAAAAAAAAGGGACAGATTCTGGCTCTGCCAACATCCACCTTGCTCCATTACTTATTTTTTATTTCATAGCAGTCTATTGGCTACTACCCTTAGACTATTTGCAACCCTAATGGAGATAAAAATTCATAAATATCCATTTCACACCCAGGGCCCTGGCACCGAGGGAAGGGATCAATTTTTTTCAAGTTCAAGCACCCCTGCCAACCCCTCATCATCGTCATCACAGCCCTATTTCCAACCTCTATGCACCATTAATAGCTTCTCATGAGCTGGCCTAGTACCCAGCCTTCACCCCACAACCAGAGAGCCAAAACCCACTCACCAATAACAGAACCACAACACGCACCAGCCAAACCCACTAGCACCTAGCTCAAAACCCTCGACTAGTCTTCAGCCAAGACCCAAGCATCAACATCCATTTTTCCATCATTAGCCTGACACAGTCCTGGAGCTCGCACCCGAACCATCTTCCCCCACATTCCCCTAATGCATTACTGGCTACCACCCTTGCCCTTCACTTGCACGACCGACCTTTCCAAAATTTGCCCATACAAACTACCAGCTTGCCTCTCTTAAAGCACCTTGCCTGTGCCCCCAAAACACTAGCCCTCCCTCTTACACAAGCTTAGACCCCTTTTATGAAATAGCCCTACCCACACAAAGAACCTCTACAGCCACACCAGACCCTAGTCTCTCCACAACCAACCTAAGAACACAAAAAAATAGCCCCGCCTTTGCCAGCACCAGACGACTCAAGACTCTAGCCCTTGCACATGACCCAACCACAAACACCTTTCAAAACCACATAGCCACCTTCTCCTCCAGCACAGTCCCTATACCCATCGCCTCACCAATATTCTCTATACCAATTGCTGTACCAACATTAGCCAACCCCATCCACAGCCACCTCCATCATCACAAAAACCACTAACAGCCCCTCCAAATACTCCCTATACGGCCAGGCACAACCTAAAACCAAAAAAAAATCCAAAAAAGAAAAAACAACCAAAATGAAACCAAACAAAATAAAAATCAAAGATACCATAATCCTCCCATTTGGGAAGAACCTCAGCACAAACAGGCAATAATGCCACTGTCAGCAATAACAAGGGACAGCAACGATTTGTAGT